CGCATAACAACGTGTCGCCTGGATACATAGGTATGTTTCCCAGCCATTATGCCTGCTCGGGATTGGGATAGCCAAACGGTGCCCGGGGAAACCCCCCCGTTACCCGTAGCCCCCTCTGCAGAGCGTCTAGTGCCGCAGAGGCATTAGGCTGGATCTTTGTTCTATCGGACATTTGAAAACTGTTTTGTTTGCCGGTACTGTACCAAAGAGATGCCGGACTCAGTTTCTGGCAGGTGCTGCTCCCCACCAATAGATGGGGCCTTTCACACAAGGGCCCACTTGAGGGAGATGCTCGTATCACTCCCTCACGTGCCCTCTCCGACAGAAGTTTCTTCCAAAAAAAAAAAAAGTGTAACCGTACAGCAGCACCCCAGAGTAGAAGGGGCAAATTTGTTCCCCCCCCCCCAAAAAAAAAAAAAAAACAAACAAACAAATAAACAAACAAACAAACAAAAGAAAAGAAAAGAAAAGAAGAAGGAGAAGAAGAATGCATAACTACCTACATGGCCCATTGCATATACAAACTTACAAAACATCGACTTAATGATTGAGTATCAGCTATAGAGTCTGTAGACAGAATACACATAGCATGTTAAAAAAAAGGGGTAATTTCAGTAGAGTCACAAAAACGAGTTATAATTGCACTATGGGGCAAGATATTACAGTTTGCAATTGCACTTCGGGCACCCAAGTACCTGGCCAGAAAGCTGGGTTGTGTACATTGCCCGAACTGCAATTTGAAACTGCATCTTACAACTCATTTTTGTGACTCCCGTGTAGTTTCCCCTAAAAAAGAAAAAGAATACACATAGCATGTACATGTAGAATGGGCATTTTACACATAGCGCTGCAAGATTCCTGACATACTACACACACAGCATCAACAGAGAGACGGCAATGTGCAATCAACAAAGATAAAGTGCACATGCACTTTGTAGGCAGTTTGTAACTTTGTACAGAGGCCAAGAGACCAACAACTATCCAATATGTGCACATACTACATAGAAACAGAGTGCACTTTGTGCAGGTTAGTATGCAATACTATGCAATATTATGCAATACTATGCATGCATAGTATTGCACACACTTGACATGCATAGTAAAGGGGCACAATCAAGAAATGACATGATGAACATACTAACATAGTGATTAGGAATCATACTAGAGCCTGAGAGACACATTATTACTGGAATAAATCCAAGATGATACAGGAGTTGATGCGCACATCCAATTCACATTTGTAAACCTGCATGAGGCTGCCATGAGCATTAAAAAGCTGTGCTTGACTAAGCATCCACACCGTACCCATGCAATAGTCATATACACACTACATAATTATAGTATGATGAATTAATAATATAGTAAATAGACAAGAGCGTAGCTCAGTGGGTACACCATTGAACTGTTGAAATACAGACCCGTGTTCGAACCTAGATGACGGAACTTGACGAGTAAACCTAAATATTTCTGAATTTCTGAATTGCCTGGGGCCAGTCAGCTCAATGATGATATCTCAAGACCGTCGCCTCCTTTTAAAAAAAAAAAGTAAATATACACATCACGTATACTACGCCATCATAATCCTACCACCTATCATGTGCCTACATATTCCATATATGTTACGGTGGTACCCCTCTCTCTCTCTCTCTCTCTCTCTCTCTCTCTCTCTCTCTCTCTCTCTCTCTCTCTCTCTCTCTCTCTCTCTCTCTCTCCATGGACACACGTTAAGTTCAACAATGACAATCAGGAGCATGACCATCACTATCTGACAGCCGTAGCGAAATACACAGCAACAATTACAACTGTCCTCGCCCTCCACTCCCTTTCTCCGCCACCCACATCATCCACATTTTCGGACGCTGCCTCGCCCTCCATGCCACGAACAAAAGCCGTGTGGTGGAAGGCTATGTGCTGCTGTCCAGCAATGATCTTTCTTCTTCTGTCAAGTTCTTTGAGAAAAAAGCTCGCATACTATAACACCTGATCCTGTCCTTTTTGGCAACATGGATGCAGAAACCAATCTTTACGTCAAGATATGCTGAGACTTTCACGACCTGTGGATGCTGGAGCCCTACACGCGCTGGAGTCGTCTACATAGCACTTATGGATGGGACGATTCAGGTGTGGGATTTGCTCGATAGGTCTCACGAGCCGTCCATGGGAGCCAACGTGAGCTCGGTGCAAATCACATCAATGGATTTCTGTTTACAATCAGGTAGACAACATCTGTCATGTTCTTGTTCTTTCACCGCCACTCTTTTCTCCAATATGTTATGATCCTGGCCAATTTCGAAGTATGCATTCATCAGAAAGTACAATGTCGTCCAATTGCAAAAAGAAATGAATGAACTTGAGAGGAGAGAGAGGGAAAGAAGAAGAAGAAGAAGAAGAAGAAGAAGAAGAAGAAGAAGAAAGAAAGAAGAAGACGATGATGTACACCAGCATAGACCAGTGATAATGTTCTTCTTCTTCGCCAACCACTCTCCTCCTCCTTATCTCCTCCCCGCGTATTCAAACCAGAAATAATAATAATAATAATAATAATGTTGAATGGCTGAACCAGAATCAAAGTCTGAGTCCCTCTTCTACTGCAGGTATCACATGAGGTCCACCATAGCCATGGCCACCCTTCTTCCTCCTTCTTCCAAGGCCGAGGCTATGGCGGACTACCAGGGCATCGCCCTGCTGTGCAAAGGACAACACAAAGCAGCTATGGCTTCTCTAGCTCAGGCAAGCATATACTACTACAAAGTAGCAAGCAGGAAAAAGGTATCCGCAAGAAAACAGAACCCCCTGCCGCGGTTTTTTATTAAAAAAAAAAAACTGCCGCGCAGCGAGAGACTAACTAAACAAGTACCCACCCATTCCTACCCAGTTAATTCTGCAGACTGATCGGAGCCCAAATTCCTCCATGCTATGGTTCCCCCAAAGACCTTGCTGCCCCTGAATTTGGAGCGCTCTTGAACATTGAATTTCTGCCTTGGGCACTGGGCCCTAATAAAAGGACAACTTTTGGTTTGAAAAAAAAAAAAAAAAAAAAAAAAAAAAAAAAGAAGAAGAAGACAGAATAGGAAAAAGAGGAATGGAATATAATGTATAGTACTGTATACCAAAAAAGAGAAAAAAAGAAGTAAAAACAAAAAGAAAAGAGAACAAAACTAAGAAACCAAGGGGGGGGCGGGGGGAAGGGCACGGAAGAAAATCTCTGGCATCTGCGCAGGAGAGGTTTTATGTTTCTTTGCTGAGTGCAGATGCACAGCACAGTGCTTGGGATTTTTGCACATGCTAGCAGGGATAGGATCAACTTTTCACTGAGAGTTTTCAGGACTTTCATGCGTGGGCAATTGCTCGCCAGGGTCAGAAAACCCCCTTCACTTTTTTTTTTGGGGGGGCTGAGGGGGGTTGTGTGGACAAGAGGCCTCCCCGTCATCTGGGACACGAGCATGCAGAGAAGTTGTTTCCGAAGGCCAGCAGGTCCTTCCCTGTTTGGGGGGGAACAGGGAGGGCCCGCCAGCCTTAGCGAATAATTTGCCTGTGTTAAAGCACCAGTACACCACACATAGGCCTGCAGGTGTCAGCATGAAACCCGCATCACTTCGGTGGCCGCCGATTTTTTTTTTTTACCGGTGCCCCTGGCGGTGCAGCGCCTCTGAGTTTTGCTTGTGGCAACAAAAGCTTTCTGCAAGGCTGGGGCCGTGTACTAGCGGTTTAAAAAGCACCACTACCTTTTCCCATGTCGGCCTCGGGTGGGCCTGCGATCTTTTAGGAGGCCGTAACATCCGATGAGATTTATCAACGGCAGTCGCCGTCGGGCCCAGCCCCATATTTTTCAGGAGTAGGATAGTTTCCCGTTTTCCCAACAGCGGGAAAGGTATTGGTGGCTTAAGAGCAGTCGATGTTCCTGATTTGCCCTGCTGCACAGCTGCAAATTGTCGTCATCGTCCCATTCGGTGTAGGACGAGGACACAGGCCCCATATCTAGTCGAGGCTAGGAGCAGTGAGTGGGAGAAAGATAGCTGCTTTGTGAGAGAGACCTTTGTGAGAGAGACTTGGCAGGGAAGGGGAACCACAATTCACCATCAAGTGGCACCCATACGCACCTTGCTGGCAACACTATGTCTGATTGGGATCAAGTTGGGATTGCCTCGTCCGCCGCCTGTATTGTTAGAGTTCACAGTACCGTCGTCACCCGAAGAGAACGCCCGGTCATTACTGCCGTATCTGGACTGAAAGTTGCACCAAATACAGCTATAATGACCGGGCGTTCTTTTTTTTTTTTTTTGGGGGGGGGGGGGGGGGGGGGGGGGGGGGGGGGGGGCTGGGGGGGGCGTTAACTACGGCGCAGTCACGTTGTCAGTTCTAAATCCACTTAAGGCATCCCTCAAATACAACACATCCCCACCCAACTGGGTTGCCCCCATGTCATCCCTAGAGTGGCATGGGATGATATCGTCCAACCAAAATCCAAAGGAGGACTGGGCGTAATCGACCCCGACTCCCAGGTAACAGCCTCGGCAATGAAACAGATTCAGACTCTTTCAGAGCCTTCTCTTCACCCCTGGACTCCTGTGGAGGAATCCAGCCTGGGAGCAGATAGCCAGATTGGCCCCAACAACTCCAGCAAGAGTGGACCCAGCCAAATATGGCTGGAAGATCTCTATTGGGCACTCCCAAGAAGGGCTACTACACAAGAAGGGTCTGAAGGGGTGAATGACCGGCAAGCCGCCCGCTTTGACCTTCGGAAGGACAGATTTTGGCCCGCCCTTCTAAAGATCTGGCGCAAACTCCCTCCCCCGGACAAGGTGAGAGGAAGTTTCCCGCCAACCCCTATTTGGGAACAGATGGATCACCGACCGTCACAGCCAAGTATATATAAGCTCGGATCGCCCATGGAAAGGGTGGGTGCAAAATGGGGTCCTGAGAATCAGAGATATATGGGACCCAGTCAAAAAGGACTGGCTAACACAGAAAGCCCTGCGTACCGAACTCAGATATTGTCACCATCTAATCGAGGCACTAGACCTACTGATTTTCTCACTACCCCTCGAATGGGTACGTATTCTAAAGAAGGGCCCCACGCTGGTCCGTAGTTATTGGATAGCTTTGAGGGATGACCCGAGCAAGCTGGGCAACACAACATAGTTGACGCACACCCAGACGGAGAGGTCCGGGTAGACATGTTTAACAGAAGGCCAGCTAACACCCTCGTGAAGTGCACCCCTGAAGAGACCTGTTGGGCTCCGAAAGCACAGGTATACCGGATCCGGGGGTGCTCAAGGAATAGGATCAATGGACTGCCTTCCATCCAGACCCTTCCCATTGACTCGCTGCCAATCAACCCAATAACCTTCAAAAAAAAAGAAAAGAAAAAACAGCCCGAGTTAATGCTAGGGGTGCTGGTAGGAGCAGGCACCGCTAGCACGCTCGGGAAGGCTCCATCTATTGGTGGGGAGCAGCACGTACTGGAAAGCGGTGGTGGACAAATGCCCACAAGAGAGGACCTATCAGCTGGCAGTTGCACTCCCTCTCAGACAAAAGTAGTCTACTGAATGCTCAGACCCCGAGTTGACCTTCACACAAAAGCGACCAACAGGTGGATGAAGCATCTCAATGTGGGAAGGCCCGATAAAATGGTTCGCTGGAACCAAGACACGCCCTGCAAACTGTGTGCCTCCCTCCCTTCAATGGCAAATAGAACACAGGTGCTTACCAACAAATGACTGGCTAATCAATAGAACCAGTCTGGAACAGAAGGACCTCGCCCTCGCCCTCCCATGGTGCAAACGGTGCACGCACAGCTTCCTTCCCACAGAGGAAGATCCCCGAAACAATCGAACACATCATGCTCCAGTGCCCGGGTTCTGTGTGGCTATGGCGATGGTGGGTGGGATCGTATATGGCAACAGCTGGGCACTGACGAACAGTGGCCTTGGGACTGGAGAGCTCTCCTATGCGGCACATGGTACCCTACAACAGAAAACACTTTTGTGTAATGACCCACCAAAAACACAGACTGAGAACACTGCTGATTTCTGGGATTCGCCACTGGAATGAATGCCTTGCTGAAATTCCCGCATTCTGCTGTGATTTCCATGTCTGTGTGTGTGTGCTTGCCTGCTGGTTTGCATGCCTGTCTGAGTGCTTGTTGGTTGAGTGTGTGTGTGACCCGCAAGGGTACTTGTTGGTTGCAAGGCCCCGCAGGGCCGGTACTTACCTGTGGCCGTGACTGTGAAGGGTTGCAGGGGGGAAAACACTCGAGTAGCGGGGGTAGGCCCGCGGCACTTAGAGCAGAGGGGAAAAACACTCAAGTAGCAGGTAGGCCGGTACCACTGAAC